GTCTACGCATGGCAGTCTGGTGCCTTGCTGCTGCCTCTCTACGATCCCAGTGAGAGCCTTGTCCTGCTCCTCACTTAGGAACACTGAGGCAAAGAACTCATTCAGGAGTTCAGCCTTGTCCCCCCTGTCAGTCACCAATTGCTTCTGCCCATTTAGTAGGGGTCCTATTCCACCCTGGGCCTTCCTTTTACTCCCTATATATCTAAAAAACAATTTCTTGTTATCCTTTACTTGGGATGCCATCCTCAGCTCCATGGTAGCTTTGGCCTGTCTAACTGCCTCCCTACAAGCACGAGCAGAGGAGGTATACTCCTCTTTGGTAATCTCTCCCCGTTTCCACTTTTTATATGCTCCCCACATTTTCCAAGCAGGAAAATTCAAGTCAGGAATTTAAGTTTCAAATATACAAGCCAAATAAATCAGATTAAAAAGGAGGAGTTCATCTTTATTAATTATGGAAGAGTAAAAAAATCCCTAATTGTTCAAGCCTCCAACTGTGTTCAACAACTTTCACTACATAGTGATTTGTAAGTCACAGAATAAAACAAGGGAAACTTGCACAGGAACTTAAGTACAAAAGGATAACATATTCCATTCAAAGTTAAATTGTAAATGACTTTGCCACTCTTATTTCATAAAAAATTGGTTTAACGGTACCCAAGACACTATGTGGTAAACAACAACAAAATCCCAATATGAACACTTACTACTTGTTCAAGTACCAAAATGATCAGCACAAAGTATTAGACAGAAAATAGGAGGACAGACAATAAAAGAGATCTTTGACTACTACAGCAGGTTTTCCTGTCCTAGCAGCTACCTACTTGTTTTAGTTTAAGATAGCTCCTTGTTTCAGTCACTAGATTCCAACTTCATGAGTTCATTTTCAAATACTAACTAATGCATGGGTATGTAATAGAAATTTGTGTCATCTTAATCCAATTACATCCATTTCAAATGAAAGCAACTGAAATCTGTGTAGTCTTGATCCAATTACATCAAATGAAATGGTAATTGCCATAATGGTTCTTATCAGTAACATTTAAAAATATCCCGCTGTGGTGTTTGCATCAACACCTTCTATTTTCTACACAAATAGTGTTAAATAATTGCATTTTACAAGGCTGAAATGTTTCTTCTAATGGCTCTTTCAAGGTCCTAACAGTGGTATACACAACTAGAAGTAGAGTAACTGCTGAAAAATCGTGCTCTGAAGGTTTGCTGCTCAAGTTCCCCATTAGTAGGGACCTACTCAAATCATGATTTCACGGATTTTGCAAAATTGGGCAATGTCTGTGAAATGGCAAACTCCACAAAAACTGCAGGGGAAAGAAAACCTTGCTAAAAAAAAAAAATTCTGGCTCCCCAGTGGGAGGCAGCAGTCCTCCCAGCTGTGCAGCCTGGAATGAAGGGGGTTACACCAAGGTGAGCAGACAAGATGGCTGCCCCCCCCCCCCCCCCAGTTGATTGGCTGAGAAGGCTACCTGTCATGCAGCCCTGTTCCTCTCTACCAATCAGTGGTGAGGGCCAGGGGCCACATGACAGACAAACCTCAATCAGCAGTGAGGGATGGGGCTGTGCGATGGACAGGCTTCTTTACCAATCAGTGGAGGGGGCAGGCAACCAGGGCCCCGTAACCAATCAGAAACTGGGGGGGAGGGGCCACCATGATAAACCTGTGAAAATGGCAGCTGGCCTCATGATCTGCCCATGAAATTGGTTGGCCACCACCTTGACTTAGCCTTCTGCCCTTGCTATGCAAATTTGATCATCAAGGCAGAGAGAGCAAGAGCCTCATGCATGTAAATCCATTACCTGTGGTAAGGGATGCACAGTTTTAGCCAACACCAATGTATCTTGGGTATAGTTGAAGTATGAGATAAAAAACCCCAAGGGCTTTCTACCATTTAAAATAATTACATTAGTATCATTCTCATCACGGGCTCTCTCACAACAGTAACATTTACATAACCCAGCACTTAATTCTTTACTGTGCAATTGAATTAGTCTCTTTCCCCAAAGAAGTATTTATTTCATAGTTATGGTATCAGAAGGCTCAGCCTACTCCAAATTTCTGAGCCAGAGAGCAGTCCCTGCAACTTGGTTTCAGAAACAAGGCAGCTTATTTTCATGAACAATTGCTAGTAACTCACAAAATTCACTACAAGTGTAAAAATGACAAAGAAAACACTTCCTTCACTTAAATAACAAGAAAACCTTCCAACACACATTTTATGGAAAGCAGAGTTTGCTTGCAGGCATTATAAATAAAAGAGTACCTGTGTAGTGCTCATTGCCTTGAGCAGCACAAGTCAACAGCTGGGCCATTGATGAACCAACAGCTTTGGACGTGCTTCCTAGGTCTTGAGCACATTTTTCAAGCTGTGAAAACATTCAGAGGACAGATTTCTTTATTTATGCTACATTGAAGCAATTTTTCCTTCTAAGCCTAATGGAAAGATTTTTCTCCCAGTAACTGGTCTTGCACTACTCAACCCTAGGACTTGACTAGCATGCATTCATTGTCCAGGCCGAATGAAGTGGAAGTACCAAGCAGCATGCACATGGGAAGGAAATCAGGGCTTCAAAGTTGAGTTTTGATAGTTTGTATCAACTGTTATTTTACAGTTTCATTCTCTAACTACAAGATTAAAAATGAAATCAAATGTTGATTCTCTTTCCTGTTTTTTTAATTGCAATGGCTAGAAGGAATGGATATTAAAAAAAATCCCTATAACCTAATTTCTTTCTAGGCCCTCAAAGTAGGACCTCCTCCACTATGTGGTTTCTGCCCAGAGCAGGGGTGGTCAAACCCCCTGCCTGTGGGCTACATCAGGCCTCTGGAGCTGTGTACGCCAGCCTGGAAGGCTCCCTATGGATCCTGTTGGGAGCCTTGCAGGCTGTGGACCTACACACTAGATCAGGTGTGCAAGGTGGAGGTGGGGCTGGCAGGGACAGTGCAGAACCCCTGGAACCTGGTTCCAGCCAGATAGAACGCTTGCACTGCTCCTGTGTGACAGGATCAGACCCCCGGTCTCTACACTGCCCCTGCCTGGCCCCTGTACACAAGGACTGCACTCCATTCAGGTGAAGGCAGTGATCCCAGCCCCTGTCCTGCCCCATTTATCTGGCCCACAGGCCAAAAATGTGAGCACCAGAAGAATAGTCTTCTTTTTGGCATAAGGATCGTTCATGGTGCTCAAGACAGATTTTGAAAGGGCACTTACGTACACTGCTGTTGAAAGGAACATTAGATGGCTTATTTCACCAACACAACCTCAGAATGCTGAATTTTAGTATATAAGTCATGGGACACATTTCCTACATGCAAGGCAGACCAAGCCTCTGCTTTATCACTAATTACCGTTTCTCCTGGGAGTGGTTTTAACTGTCCATCAACAGCTGCCATCTTTGCATCTTGCAGTTCACTTTTGAGTGTCTGGACTGTATTCAAAGCAGAATCAATTTCCATTGGACCACATGCTTCGTGAGCCTATCCAGAAAATAGATCCACAGAAACTGTTATCATTAAACAGCCTTTCTACTTTCAAAAATGGGGACATGTATCTGCGCTGGGACACAATCTAGACAAATTATGAAACCTCCATTCCTTTAAATCAGACAAACATTTGTCTGGGACAGTTTAGAAAGGGATGATCCTGCCTCAAGTACTGTGTCAAATTGGAGTTCCTCTTATAGTCCTTTTGAGCCTTTTTCTACCATTTTACAACTGTCCCAAGCCACAGAAGGGAATGAGATCCATTTTGCACTGTTGAGTTTCAATTTCTAGTTACTGTCTCATAACAACTTGGGGTATGTCTAAGTAGCAATCTAAAGGGTATGCCTGTAGCTCTTGCACGCATTGGTAAGCTAGTGGTAAGCTTAGGGACTGATAGCAGCATTCCTGTGACAGCACAGAGCTCACTAATAGGCCAGTAGGCCACGTATTTATTCAGGGTTTCAAGCCCCCCACTGAACCTGCTGATGCCACAGCTACACTTATTGTATCCAATCTGTGTCTATACAAACTGCAATCAGACCGTTGGACTGCAGCATACATATAAAATTAGATTGAAAAGAAGGCAGCAATAAACCGAGAATTACAAATGGCATTTCTAGCTACACACAAGCTTCAGTAAACCACATCTTATAAAATACAATGAAACTCTAGCTGAACAGCAAAATTTACCCACCTTTTGGGAGGCAGTTCTCAACTCAGCTAAGCTGGTTGCAAGGTTCTTGGCACACTGACTTAGCTGCATTGCTGCAGCTTGGTCAGTCACTGTGGGTACTGCAGCTTTGGCTGATGCCACCATCTTACTTCCTGGCTATTTTAGGATTAGCAAAGAATGTGATTGATCAGTTCATGCCCATACGCTTACATAAGTGCATCAAACACTAAAATAGGCCTATTATGAAAGAAGAATTAAGGAACTGAAAATTTTAACTGTGGTTTTTTAGGCTAGCAAATCATTAGAACCAATATCAATGTATACAGTACACTGACACTAGCCTCTGCCCCATCCCCATCTCACCCCCAATTTCTTTACTAATATGTTTAGCTTAGTCATAACCCTAAACAGCAAGATTTCTGCAGTAGGAACAAACTTTGTTTTAGTCATTTTTCTAGTGCAACAGGTACCAATGTCTGACTGAGACCTCCCATAATATAAACAATTAATTAGAGAATTTTCAACTTATAGCTTGTTTGCTCAAACAAGCCTGGATAGCATATATGCCAAATTTATTTCAATATTTCTGAATATTTACATTTTCTTTTAAAATACTAGTAAATGGGAACAAATAATTTAGGTAAACCATCACAGGTGGTAGTGTTAGCACACCTTGCTTACCATGGTATCCATGAATAGAAGCAGATGGATTGCCCTAATAATTTCAGAGGGAACTTACACTCTATGCCCTTCCCTGCCACCCTCCTTGACCCTTTCTTTTAAAGATGGTTTGGAGTAAGCACAGGGTGACTGCTTGAAATTTGGGTTCTGCCCAAAACTTTGATCAAGACCTTGGGATCTTGAACAGACACCTGAAAAATGTAAATTCTACCTCCCCCATAAAGCCCTAAGAACCCTTGCTAAAATACTGTGACTATTAGCAGTAAGGACTTATAAAGATACCTCATGGTAAATATTTCTCAAATTAAATTTCTTCTCCCAGTGGGTCTCAATCAGTGACTAAATATATAGATCTCACTGTCATTCAACCGTTACAGCTATGCTTTTCAATGCACAAGTGAAGAGTATTCAAAATCAGGACAGAAAATGCTCGAGACAATCTGTAGAGTTTATTTGATGTTACTTACCTGAAGGAAGTTCTGGCTGGAATTTATCAGAGCAAGCTGAGCACTGAGATCTTCTGCCTGTGCTTGACTCCCCCTCACTCCCTGTACCAACTGAGGAATGTGGTCAGCAACGTTCTGGAGGAGGTTCACAAGGAAGGAAGTTTTAATGGGAAATTAAGCAAATGCAGTACTAATCAAGCCTCAAAGTACAGGAGAAAAGACCTATGGTTTTTATCAAGTATAATACCACTGACATTTCCCAGAAATCATTTTGGTCTCTATAGATTTTAATGAGTACAAGTCAGGACATTTTTTACAGTACATGGAGGATTCAGGCTTGCTACAGAATTATATGGATTAGCTTGAGGATTCTATATCATGGATAAAGCTTTTCTATAAAAATAGTAAGGATACACATGTTCAATAACACATTGTTTTTTCTTTGCATAATACAATTATTGTTATAGACTCCAAATTGCTCATGTTAACAACTTGAACAGCTCAAGAATCTCTCTTCCTTCAAGGAAATTTCAGTTTCTCAAACTTTGGTATCTCATCTTATTTTTCTTTGACTGATTGATAAATGTTTAAAGCATAGTTGTGATATTCTGAATATGCATGTCGTTAAAATATTATCCATATTCCTGTCCAAGTATAAACTCATGTGCATATGACTCATCTTCTGTACATTTTTCTAGAATACTTTCCTCAAGTATTAATTTTTTTTCCTGAAGTACAGAAGCAGATTTTCAATCTCCTATTTGCTGCATAATAAATCAGTGTCAAGACCAAATTAGAATGAACCGCAATCACAGTGCTTTTGCATTTGTATTGAGAATGTATCAGCCTACCAGACATCTCTTTGATATACTCTGCCTTTGCAGATATGTTCAAAGTCTTTTATTTGTTCACCATTCTTTCAAGAGCAGGAGTGTGAGAGGTAATGCACTTAATAGCCAAGTGGTAAATGTCAATGCCTTTTTTCCTAGAAGCTTTGATTTGCTTAGTGGTTGCATTCTTGATTTCTGCAGTTTCTCCAAGTAGAAGAATATGCCATTTTGCACTCAATTTGGCTTTTATTTCCCTAAAGGCCTTGAAACAACATTGTTCAGAAGGAGAAAGTAAGCTCCTAGCTACAGGTAAAACTAAAGTACTTGTCAATGAGATATCCTGCATCACAGCTTACAAAGAAACAAATCTGAGGGTGTCTCTGTGTTCACTTCTACTGTACCTAAGCTCCATGCTGCCTGCAGCCTACTAGTTAGTGAATTAAGAATAACATGACCCATTACTATGTTAAGTTCATAGGCTGGTTCAGAAAAGGAACTTAAGGGCACAAATTGCATGTCAGCCAAGTAAGAGAACCCTGTAGATAGTGTGTGGATACATGAAGTAATGGTTTTATCTCATTACAAACCCAGCCCCTAGCTACATTAAAATCACGTGACAGGATTGTGACAGGGGGCCATGTTAAGGCCGGGTCTCAACATCAGCCCACCCACCTGTCTGTGTGGGACAGTCCACCCAATCTTGCCTGCCACAACTTATTGTTTGATAACTAGTGTAAAATGCAGGAGGCTGCCCATTTTAATGCCCTGATGCCAGGGGGCACTGCGCATGGCTCTGTACCATCCCTATACTGCATCCCATGCCTTGCAGATGGCATTGTAAGTAGATCATAACTCTGGCCTGAGGCCGGGCTAGCTCTGTCCCTGGCTGGGCCTCTCCCATTCTACTCACGCACTCTGCCTCCTCTCACAGGGTCTCTTACATACCGCCACTCTCAACCCACTCTGCTCCACTTGAGCAACCCCCTGGGCCATTAGGCTTACGTACTCTCATGCTGGTCGGTGTACGGGCAGCACCTTTGGGTCGTATGAGCTTCCCTACTGTACAAGTCACTGACCTTATGCCCTGCCCTGTGTGGAGCTCAACTTCTAGTCCCTCACCAGGCAACTGGCTCTTGATTTCACTCATGTGGGGGCTGGCCCATGTGCTGCCCTTCAGACCGCACCTGAAACCCTACTCAGCATACCCCTGGTACAGCCCTTCAGGTCACCCCATTCAACCCAACTCTGTATGCACCAACACCCAGTCCTTCAGGCACCACTGTGCACCCTACGCTGGGCAGGCTGCACACAACTTCTGTCCCATTCACTGGGGCCATTCTCTTCCACTGCCCCGTCTCTAGGGCCTCCTGGGTCTTACACTCCCGTGGGGTTCAAGTGCCTCTCTCTAGGTGTGCCTGCCTCCCCTGCCACCACACTCTGTCCCCACTCATAATAACCCACTGAGTAGTGAGGGCTGGTGTTATAAGGTGCTCTTACCCGCCTTTCACTAGGGAGGCAACTGGCCTGGCATTTCTGGGGAACTACCCCGCCATAGGTAGTCCTACCAGACCATCCTTCCCCAGCAGGGTGCAGTTTTCAGTCATACCCAGGACCAGGAGCCTCTTGACATCCCTCATAGGTCCTACCCTTGCTTCCAAGATGTTCGGAGCAGCAGCTCAGCTGGGCGTTGTTGCCAGCAGCAGGCTCCTCTCAAACCTTAAAGTGGCAGGCACTAAAGGTGCCCTGCCACAAGGATACTAGCCAGAAATGTCATGATGTCACCTCCATCCAATTTCACTACATTTATGATGATCATAGAGCTTTACAGATGTGTATAAAAAGTGACCCTGTCCAAGCCATTTACAGGCTAGATTACAATAGGTATGAACACATGTCAGTGTGAGTCTATTGCATCTTAGCCCCATCGTCAGTATCTAATTTGACATGAAGTTAAGTACCTAACAAGTCCCAATATAAAAGCAGGAGTTGATAGCCACTAGCAACAATTCCTTCCACTCACAAGATCTATTTAAACATTTCACCTGCATATTTCTGTCCTATATGGTGGACAAAAGTTTGTTGGCATAGTCTGCACACAGTGAACATACAGGTATTGTGATGAGCATGGTCTTTTTGATAAAGGTGCATGATATAAATGCTAATTAGTATTACTGGTAGAAGATCTGTACTTCTGCTGCAGAGTGCTTTGGGGGTACAGCTGACCAGCACTAGCCACTGAACAGGAACTTCGTTGGACCTAATTCCACTGGCCAGCATCAAACATCTTCTCTTTCTCCAATAAGAATATGATGATCTTAAAAGTTTAAGAGATAAGAACTAATTAAGCTGCAGAAAGCTTTGTACTGATATTTAAGCGTTATACTATTCATGCCTGCCTACTCCAAAGCAATTGTCCTTTGGCAGCTCTCATAAAGGACACAGACTGGGAAGGTGATCCAATCAGTCAGAGTTTATACACCAAACTGCTTGTGAAGACTTCTTCTCAGGGTACCAACGTTAAGGCCCCGAGAGTGGCACGAGATGCACAGGTGCAAGCCCATCGCGCCCCTGCACCCCGAGACCCCCCCAGCAACCCCCCGTGACCGTGGAGCACCCTGCCAACCCCCAGCACTGCTGGAGGTAAGCAGGGCCCGTGGTGGGAGGGACAGAGCCCAGCTGCGGGGCAGCTGAGTGGAGCCGAGGAGGGCCTTGCCCTGCCCCGGCTCCTACTTGGCCCAGCGCCCCCAGGGAGAGAGAAGAGTGGGGAGAGGGTACTTACCAGTCCCTCTCTGGAAGATCAGGGTCCCCCCAAACCCTGGGTAGGGCCCCCCTTGACAGGGAGTAGCACGGTGCCGGTGGCGGGTCCACTGTGCATGTGCGGAGTTTAAAAGGGCCCGCCAACCAGAATAAAACCTCATTTTGGCCCCGGGAGTCGTGTGAGATGCATAGGTGCAAGCCCGTTGCACCCCCGCAACCCAAGACCCCCCAGTGACCGTGGAGCACCCCATGGCCTCCACCCAGACAGAGCCCATGGCTCTGGGCTCCATGCAGACAGAGCCCCTAGCTCTCAGCTGTGGGGGCTGCCTGACACTTTTTTAGGCTCTGGGGTCTGGGAGCATGGCCCCCTCCCCTTGCGAGGTCTGATTTCTACGCCAGCTGGAGGAGCTCCAGGCCGCAGTCCAGAGACCACGTGCCATCAGGGATGGCAAGCGGGAGACAAGACTCCTATTACCAGGCCCTTCACCCCCTAGAGGCGGAGGGTAGACCACGGTCGCCTTCCAGGACAAGGGAGGACTTGGGGACCTCCCATGCTGTCCAGCCAAGGGGTTGGTCCAAGGTGGTCAAGGGCCCCAAAGTCCGCCGCACCAAGGTCCCCGCCCCACTGAAGCTCTGCAACAGGTACAAACCTCTTGCAGCCCCAGCAGAGCCTGATAAACTGCCAGCTCTGGTAGACAGCGCAGGCTCAACTATAGCTACCTCCCCCGCTCTCCCTAAGACAAAAGGCAAAGTGTTTGTCATGGGAGACTCTATCCTCAGGGGTACGGAGGGCACAATCTGCCGCCCCGACCCCTTAGCCTGGGAAGTCTGCTGCTTCCCGGGAGCTCGTATCCGAAACATTGTGGAGAAGATCCCTAAGCTCCTCCAGCCCACTGACCACTACCCTATGTACCTTATCCACATGGGCACAAATGACATGGCTCAGAGCAATCCTAGCTGGGTCATGAAGTGCTGCAGGGATTTGGGAGCGGGGCTTAACGGGTTGGGGGCACAGGTGGTGTTTTCCTTGATCCTCCCAGTTTCAGGCTATGGGCTACGAGGGAGAGGAGGATCGAGGTAGTAAACCATAGACTGCGGCGCTGGTGTCATCAGGAAGGCTTTGGCTTCCACGACCGCAGTCCGCGGTGAGAGAGGCAGTGAGCTGCTGGGAAGGGACGGCCTCCACCTCTCTCCACTGGGGAGGAGGCTCTTCTCAGCCAGACTGGTTAGCCTGGGCAAGGGCAAAGGGACACTTGCATGCCTGTACACAAATGCCAGGACCTTGAGGAATAAACAGGAGGAACTTGTCCTCCTGCTTAACACAAACAATTATGATGTCATAGGGATAACGCAGACCTGGTGGGACTCCACCCATGACTGGGCCAGAGGTATAGATGGCTATACTATGTACAGGAGAGATCGTGTGGACAAAAGGGCTGGGGGTGTTCCTATGTCAAGGAAAGCTATGCATCCCTGCAAGCCAACACTGCCACCCAGGGTGGGCGACTGGAGACCCTCTGGGTTAAAATCCATGGGGAACACGGCACAGGGGACACAATGATGGGGGTCCGCTACAGACCCCCTACCCAGGATCAAGAGCTTGACCAGGAGTTCACCAGGAAATTCGCTGAGGCTGCATGCTCCTGGTGCATGGTTGTCATGGGAGACTTCAACTACCCAGACATCTCATGGGAAGAGCGCTCGGCCAAATCCGAACGATCGCAAAGCTTTCTCTTGTGCGTGGATGAGCTCTATTTGATGCAAGAAGTCTGCAGGCTGATGAGAGGTAAAGTGCTGCTCGACCTGGTACTAGCAACGGGGGACAACCTAATCAGCGACCTAATGATCGAAGGGAAGCTGGGTGACAGTGACCATGAGCTGATCACCTTCACCATCCGCCATAAAGCTGGCAAGTCAGTCAGCAATACAGAAGTCTTCGACTTTAGGAAAGCTGATTTTGACAAGCTCAGGAGGCTTGTTAGTGAGGCCCTAAGGGACCATGACCCAAAGGGGAGGGGAGTTCAGGATGAGTGGCTGCTCCTCAAGAGAGCGATTCTAGATGCACAAGCTAAGTCTATCCCATTTCAGAGGAAAGGCAGCAAAAGGGCACAGCAGCCCCCTTGGCTCTGCAGGGAACTTGCGGACCTCCTGTGTCTAAAAAGAAAGATCAACAAAGAATGGAGGACTGGATCCACCTCCAAGGAGGAATATTCTTAACAGACTGGCCAATGGCAGCATCCTGAGGGATAGCCAGCACGGGTTTGTTGCAGGTAGGTCGTGGTTGACCAATCTTATTTCCTTTTATGACCAAGTGACCTATCACCTGGACAAGGGAGAAGAGATTGATGTTGTATATCTTGACTTTAAAAAAGCCTTCAATCTGGTATCCCATGATCACCTCTTGACTAAACTGGCCAACTGCGGCCTCAGCTTAACCACAATCCACTGGCTGAGGAATTGGCTCGGTGGTCGGACCCAGAAGGCGGTGGTTGACGGAAGTCAATCATCGTGGTGCGCTGTGACCAGTGGGGTCCCTCAAGTGCAGGCTCAGGGGTGATCTGGTGGCCACCTATAAGTTTATTGGGGTGCTCATCAGGATCTGGGGGAACATCTGTTCACCAGAGCATCCCAAGGGATGACAAGATCAAACGGTCACAAACTCCGCCACGACCGATTCAGGCTGGACATAAGGAAGAACTTCTTCACTGTCCGAGCTGCCAAGTTTTGGAATAGACTGCTGCCAGAAGCGGTTCAAGCACCTACTTTGAACGCCTTCAAGACACATTTAGATGCTTATCTTGCTGGGATCCTATGATCCCTGCTGACTTCCTGCCCGTGGGGCAGGGGGCTGGACTCGATGATCCTCTGGGGTCCCTTCCAGCCCTAATGTTTATGAAATCTGTAAGGCAACACTCTAGTAATATAGTTAAATTTCTAAGTCTAACAGCTTTGTGCCCAAATTCTCTGTTAAGTTCTGTGGGCAGGATATACTGTTGCTTTTTCTGCAGCAAATGCTCAAAGAAAGAAGCTGCATTTGTGGGAGGTTTGTATGTTAGAGGTACTTGTGGAAGTCTTTAGACAAATATTGCCAAAGCATTTGTAAAGGGCAAACTGCTGCTTTGTACATGTTTTAGCAGAATATTTCCAAGTTCTCTGTACAAAATTACAGTTAACAGGTGCTAACTAACTGCATGCAGTAAATAAAAGGATTTTTATGGATAGGTACAATGCTAGTACAGCTACAGAATTCCAGCCAGATGCTTTGGCATCAGATGATAACACAGATCTTAAATATCCCCTTCCAAAGGGAGGGAGTGACTACATTAGAGGAGATTAATTTTAGCTTCCTCAGAGTTAACTGCATTAAAAAAAAAAGTGACACAGTTTATAGATTATCTGGCAACTGCTTGTTTCTTCTACCATGAAATATTACCTTGCAGCTCTGGACAAGTTGCTGGTGTGCTGCTGTATTCTTGTTGGAAACAGCTGCATTCTGAGAAGCTGCAATTGTTTGAGTAGCGGCAGCAGCAGCTTGTTTTGCTGCAATCTTTGGAGGATAAAAACAAATGGTTAAAAAGACTTTCCTGAATAAAACTTGAGTAATTTATAGAAAGCAAGGAACAAGATGGATAGCAATGCATTTCACAACAGAACTAAATTAGACATTACTTTTTCTTGACTTACTTTGCTGTATAGAACTCAACATCACTTTTCACTGAAGATGAAAACTGAAACAATCATTGCAATCAATCTTCAACATGCTAATAACAAATGATAAACCACCTGACACCACTAAGATTCCAAATGGTTCCTTTTTCACATGATTAGTCTCATCACAAAACTCACCTGAAATTCTAAAGAGCTATACCTAAAACATCCTATGGCAATGATAGGCTGCTGAATGTAAAAGTAAAGACCACAATAATCTAAAGCATTAGAAGTATGCTACAATTGCTTGTGCAGCTTCAGGAATCCTTTCAGGACAGCATCATTCCTAACGTCTAAAGCATTTTAATTAAAGTACAGGTGAAGTAGTAAAAACTTGGTTGCCTGTGTATGTAAATTTAACTACAAGGGCTCTGAATTCAACTACATTCAATACAAAACAATCACGTATCAAATACATCAGGGAATCTAGTAAGGCCAACTGGCTTCAGATTTAAAGGAGAATTTGCCTCAAAGTCTTAAACTACTGTATAAAACCTAGTAAACAAGCTCTCCAGTTTAACCTAGAAGATGTGTCATTTGCAACTAGACCTCTGAATATTTTGCTAAATGTCATAATGATTTGGCAAGAGCAAATTCATTTGTCACAAAGAGATCAGCCTGATGGAGTGCAGCCACTTCCAGTGTGTTAAATTTAGAAGGGATCAGGAAACAAGAAGCAGGTGGATACAGTAACCCACTGTGCTAGATTAGCAGCCCTAAGAGCAATATCCTGAGTATACCTTAAAAAGAGTTCTTCACAGGAGCAAAGACCCAAATTTACTGAAACTGATCAGGGCCAAAAGGTAAGAAACTAAGGTGGTGATCATGAGGACAGAATGAGGACAGATCAGTTCAGGTGGGTCTAAAATATTCAGGAAGGGACAGAATTCAAACATCTAATGTGTATCTCTCTCAAAAATAAAATGCAGCAGCTTGCCAAGTACATTCCAATACAGCACATTATTCTCAACACTGTTCTCTAATTAACCCACAAATTAAAGACATTCATCCCAAAGATAAAAGCTTATTGGTTCACCCTTAACTGTTATTAGCACAGATTTCCCTTATTAGTGCATCAATAATATGTTTTTAGAGCAAAACAAAACCTTAGTTTCTACAAGAGTTTCTTATGCTGTAGCTACACATTTGGGAATGCAGTGCGGCATCAGAATGAATTACTGAAGATTCTCTTGTTTTACATTGATACAATGGTTTCAATACCATACACTTCCAGAAGATGGCTACCTGCTGAGATCTTCCTGTTGGTTTCATCACAAAGCACTGAAACATTTTTGGGTTACTGTAAAAACATAACTGAAATAAGGAGACAGAGAGGCTCTTTATCAATTTCTTCTCCATTAAATTTGGAAATAATAAAGATCAGACTTCTCTAACATACAAGAGAATGCTGAAATTATCTTCAATGTACAGCAAACTGCCTTTTCTCCTTTGCAGTACCACTGGCTACTACATAATATTTTCATTTTTAGTTTTGCTTCTTTGGTTAACTACATAGATTTCTGGTTCAGTTAGTTGTGGTGTGATCATGTGGTGTGATCAAATGCATTTTAGTGGGGTATTTTACATGAATTTGTCATCTATTTTGTAAAGGTCCCTGTAAAATAATTTAAATAGCAATGAAACAGTGAGCTTCCTCCCATACTTAACCTAATGGTAACCTCACCAAATTCTGTCTGAATTAAATGTCAATATAGCAGTCTCCTTTTGACAGATCTCTCTTTAACCTGTTTGTCACGGACAGATAAGTTGCTGCCTGTTATTGGAAGAAAGGTGCATGTATATATACTCATGCCCTCAGATTTCTGGAAGAGAACTTTCACATACTCTGTATGAGCCAAATGTAGCTCATTTGTTATGCTCAGCTTCATGTTTTATCTATTGTAGGCATTTTTAATAGCTGAAAAGCACCTAGAGATACGAATTTTTCTTTGCAATGGACTGTAAGCACCTTTTTAGGCCATCACATCTAGTTCCCTGCATTCACAGACAACCACAAGGATGTGTTCTCCAGTTCTTCTCACACATTGCAGCCCCAGAATGCCTGCTTAAAAAAGTGCTTGCTGAAAAAAATGAGCAAAACAAAACAGAATACACAATAGAGCTTAAGTCTGACCTCCAGTCTGTTGACAATTTTCTTCTTGATGGCATTCTGGGCAGCTGCATTTGTTGCAACTCGCAGCCCCTCTGCTGCTTCTCTCAGTCTCTGCTGTTGATCTTCATTTTCAGGATTTGCTGCAGCTCCCTACAAAGAGGTTAAAAAATAAAATATAAATATTCAGAATAGGCTCACATATAGATTTTAAAGGCACTAGGGTTTAAACTCCTATCAAGTTCTACCAGATCAGTCTATGTTTGCTATTTAATTGCTTTACTCTAACATGAATTAAAGATAATTTAACTATAGACACATTTTAGGTAGAAAATGTATTGCTGGTATTATTTATTGCTTAACAAGTTAAACACTGCAAATAAGACAGGAATACTTGAGTTCATCACCTAGAGCAGTGAGCCAAATTAGATCCATTATTCCTCCCCCACATGCTGTTAACGTAGAATGTGTGTCTTCTGGGAAATGTTTACTTCTGTTGGATAATTTGAGGTTAAAACCCCATGTAGACTGGGAAATCACTGTTTTGTAAATTGCTTACACTTTTCTCTACAACTATATAGTGTTTATATAAATATATTGTTTAAAGTTAACTTTTACATTTCCAGTTTAACAAGAGTTATAATCTGATTCTCAAATTATAGAAGCAGGACGTAAATTTGACATCTCATATTTGAGGTCTGAACACATATAGACAGGTAAATCAACGGCATCCACATCTGAGAGGTCACCAATAAACATGAGAATAGTTTAGGAATCCGAATAAATGATGAACTAAAATCTGATTGTACTGAACTTTTATTTAAGTTCTCAACTAAGTTGTCAAATGAAAAATAAATAGTTATAAACTGATCAGTTCCGGCTACATAACAATTTATACTTACAAAAGAGCAATAAGACAAAAACACCTCCTCATGTTTGTACAGTTATGAAAAAATTAGGTTCATATTTAGTGCTTTTTGGGTTCTTCAGTTCACTGTTTCCTTGTATGTACCTTTGCAGCTTCCACCATGCGGGCTGTAGAATCTGCCAAAAGTTTAGCTGCAGCTAGAAGTTTCTTGGAGTTGTCCATGTCAATCTCAGCTTCAGCGTCTGACCTCATGGCATTGACAAGATCAGAAGTAGCTTGAGCGAGGACCCTGGCCTGTCGCACCATTTCCCCTACGATATTAGCATGGCAAGTTAATATCCTTCTGCCTTCTGTCTCAATTTCAGTTTCAAAGGTCACCCCCAAAAGAAAAGAAAATAATAAAACCCAATGTCCTGAATTTTTTTTTAAATGAGTGCATAAGATAATGGTTCATTGCTTAGAACAGTGGTGCTCAACCCCTTCCCCAATACGGCACTGGGGTGGGAGTGGTGGGCACTAACTGGCCACGTGGAGGATGGCGGGGGTCAGTCCAGCAGCAACCCAGCCCCAGAGGGCCCATAGGAGGGGATGGCCCAGTTCCAACCTCCCTGCGGGAGGAGGGTGCATGGCCTGGCTCTACAGGGAAAGGGAGTGTGGCTTGGCCCCATGGGGGGAACTGGCCTGACCCCAGGCCAGTGTGGGAAGGGGGTGTGGCTTGGCCCTGCAGGGGAAAGTGGAATGGCTGATCCCCAAACAGCCCCACAGGGGGAAAAGCCCCAATCTAGATGCAGGGAGGGGACATTACCCAGCTGTGACTGGCAGCTTAGGGTTTGGGAAACTGGTGGGGTGGGGAGCGATTGTATTAGTGGCCACTGTTTCCGCACTGTCAGATTTCCTGCCCCATGGGCCAGATGCGATGGCTCTGTGGGTTGCATTCAGCCTGCAGGCCAAAGGTTGAGCATCCCTGGCTTAGAAAATTTAGAAAGAAACCTTTACAGTTGGATAACAACAGAATTAATCAAGGAAGTAATAAGAAATACAGGGTATGGAAAATAATTGGCTTTCTTGCTTCTCCCTGAATAGACCTGAATAGAATAACTGAATATTTCAGGAAGAAGTAACTCAGCACCCATTCATTTAAAATTTAAGGTTTCAGTTTGAAAGAGGGTATAAATTCATAAGTCACGTTAATACAATAAGCTTACTTACTTACCATGGTCAAGCACAGATGTGCTTCTGAAGTCCATCAACCATTTTTAGAACAAATTCACTTCACAAATATAACTGCTACTTCACTTAACTCAAATTGAATGCATCATAGCTTTGCAATTAACTGTTCAGCTTTTTTCCCCACCAAAGGTTATTCAAGTAGGCAGCAAATGTTTAGTTCAAAGGCCAAGTGGCGTTTAAGGGGTCTCAACAGTATGTGGTCCAAAATAGCTTTGACACACAAAAAGACATTCCAAAACTTTCCACACAGCAATACAGGTATCTGTGATACTGCGGGAAGCTAACAAAGTTTATAAACAAGTACTTCTTAGCATACTCCCCCTATCCCCCACCCCACATCAAGAACAGTCTACTGAATACAGGACTTCCTAGAAACCTGTACAGATGTTTCCTAGTTTGTCATTTTTGTAGTAAAAACCTCACCAGTGTTACGTTTCAGCTGTGTGTTCTTGAGCAACCCTGGCACAGAATGCAGTCTCTCTGACTCACAAAGGACTGCCCCCCTTCCTCTACCTAAACGAAACTGATTAAGTTGCAGTGAGAGACATACCTAAGACCCTCAAGATAAGGGTGACAAGAGTGAAACAACTGCCCTAGGTCTCATTTGCATCCGAGATGGAACCAGATGACCATTCATTTACATGAGAGATGGAGAACAGAAAGCCTGAAGCAGAGACTGCAGTGAATTCTGGGACCAGAGAAGCAGGGGAGCACTGCATGATGGGGAATCTGTGCTCCAAATGTTAATCAACCCATGTTCACACATACCCAGCTCAGCATTTATCAGACCAGTTCTAATCTGGATTTACTAAGGACTTTTCCACCCCCACTCTCCACAAAAGGTTATGAGCACCCCAATAATTGTTTTAAGTCTGTTAAAAGACTATAGTAAGATCTGGAAAAGTCATGCTAAGCTGAGGCTTGTGCACAACAAGTAAAAATCCAAAATCCTGATGCTGCAAGCTATCTATTGTTCCTGAAGAAACCATGAGATATCCCATCAGTATATCTGCCACCCATAGGAATTTCAAGCTGGCTCCCAAGTATTTGGGTTACTCCCTAATCTTAAGTGTTTCCTGATTATCAATCAGTTTCCTGAGATGGTCCAAACCAGATAACCCCTTGTCAATAGAAAAGACAATGATTTACACTACTGAGGGTGCTTCGAAGCAGCTGAACTGAGGGTATAAAAATCTGTAAGTGTGTGTGCTTAAAGAGGAAGGAAAAGAAGTAGAAGCAGGAGGAAAGAAGGAGAAGAAGAAAACCCCTGTGCTGACACCATCCCCTGTCGTTCTTGGGATGCTGGAAGAACAGATCATCTCTCTCTTCAAGGATTGTGCTACGGACTGTGCCTGTCAGCTTTGCAGCCTGAGTACCGTGGACTAGGTGAGATCCCAGCGTTCTCTGTCTTCTTTCTAGGCATAAACTTCTGAACCTGAACTGTATCAGTTAAGCTTGAGCTAAGTTTCCCCAAATACTTAGTGAAACCAGGGTAGTATTGTCATTGTTGGTGTTTGTTTTTCTTTTGTATGTCTATTACTACTAGTACCATTATATATTTCATATGCTTAGCAATAAATAACTTATATAGTCAAACTGGTAGTAACTGGGTACATTTTTCCTTCTCTACTTCTCCTTCCTCACGTGCTCTGCAGCAACGCTTCTTTTACCTAAGCTAAAGGTCCCTGTGAAGCCCAAAAATATTGTGGGGTCTGCTCATCAAGAGGCCAAAGATTGGGACGTACTGAGTTTGAAACACATAAGGGGATCAGCTTGTACAGGCTGATTGACCCAGTTTGACTCAGACGTGCCCTTATGAACTGAATGCTGGCCCATGAGGGTGTCAGCTGGACACCCAGCCAGATTCAGAGGGATTCTGTTCACCTGTGTGCTTGTGTCTGACTGCAGTTTATTGTTGCTCTTATGAACTGATTCTTGGCATATGAGGCTGTCACCCTGTCCATGCTGATCAGCCCGGCCAGGTCAGGCGTGTCACATTAATGTGTGTGTGTGTGTGTGTGTGTGTGTGTGTGTGTGTGTGTGTGACTGATTTGGTGACTGGAGGAACCCAGTCCCATTGAGATTGAGTCCTGCAAGATAGATCCATTGGGGGTGAGGGCTTGCAGAAGGGAGAGATACAGCTCCGTATAGTAACACAAGCAGCACATTGACAGAATCACCAAGACCCTAGAAACTATCCCTAATAAATGAGCACACCCCAAAGTAATGGGCAAATTTGGTAACACCAGGAATAAAAGCTAACACAGTAAGCAGGGTGGCTGACAGTGCATTTGACATAAGCCATTTTTACATCCCTTGCTGTAATTATCATCAAAGGAAAGAGCGAAAATCAAAGGAAGAGAAAAAATACTTATCTATTATATGAATAATCACAGGACACACCTTTTTTGCTAACCCAAACACTTTGAAATTTGCCCATTGGATCAAGAGTTCAACAAGCCATCATTACAAAGCTGATGAACACATCAAGTTGTTTGAGTCTCAGTATTCTATGCTGAAAAACTTAGCAAAGCTCCACAATCACATGGCTGTCAATATTAACACTGCCTGATGGCTTATCTGACTGTAGTGATGTGGGCTATGAGTCAAAATACCAGATACAAAATAGTTTACATAGGCACACAGATAATTTGCACACATGGTATATACATATAAGAAAGAACACTTCGATTGATGCATCTTAGTTTTTTTTTAAAGGTACTGAATTAAAGAATTAGAACACTTTTATGCAGTTCCCAATTTGAGGATTGGAGTGCTTAGTAATCAATATTTTTGTGATTCTTGATATCATCTCAGCAAACACCCCATCACTCATCAACTTCAATCAAGAACTTTCTTCCTTACATTAAGGCCACCAAATTTGCCAAACCTACCTTACTCACACTTTTTTCCTCATATCCAAGTATAACACGATTGACAGAACTAGGTCTATAAAAAACTCAAACCTCTGAAATATTGATGTCATTCTTACACCTAATATCAGTATGACTATAATGGGGAAAAGATTACTAATTTCACACAGTACATATAATATAACAATGACCATAAAACAGTCATAGCGTAATGAAATATTTTCAGTTGCCTCAGTTTGTGTGAATATATTACACAAACAGAAGGGAAAAAATAAAAACTAGGTAAACATGAGTACAGAACCACAAACATTCATATGGATTAAGAGTCTTGTGCTTCAAATATTAAGCTGTTTTAATCCTTTTGTTAGCTAGCTAGATTTCAAATTGGTGCTTTTCCTTTAATTATATTAAGACACCTCATAAGGCTCTTCACTGAAAATACTTTTGTTTCAACTAATTTATTTTATATTTCTGTAAACAGAGAGCATTGTTAAGTTCATTACACTATCAAACATTAGGTCTCCAGACCTAGCTGGTTTCATGGGCCATGCTCTTTCAAAAAAGCATACAATTTGAAAAACACACAATGTAAAGGGTTAAAATGTCATAAAAATCAAGTATACAATAGAAACAAAATTCTTGCCCTGAGCTATAGGCAGGTAAATACATTTTAGGGAACATAGCACTGGTAAAGACTAAAATAGCTAACTTATTGTTTAACAGTAGGCTGTTGTTAGATTTAGACATATACAACTACTACATATCCTCACAATGTAGAGTTGTTCAATTCAGCCAGACCTTCCCTTAACTGGCCCATCATATGTTTCGTTTCATCAGGCCTGATATTAGCTATGCCAGCAGAGCCTTCTACATAACTGTTCTATCACTTAGAAAACTCCTAAACATGCACTTACGGGTGCTTTGTTGATTTTATATTTTTGTTTGAACAGCTGATAAGGAGGCGCTAGATAATAGGTATCATACATCTTAAGAAGAATTTCTGACTTGCATTACTTAACATGCATATATGTCTTCTCAGGAGGACATCTGAGTCAAACTATCCCAAAAGAAACAGAATAAAGGTAAAGCAGCTCACCAGCATCTCCCATTGAACTGAAGATACTTTCAGTCACACACATGATGGTATCTGTTGCTTGGTCATAGCGTCCAATGGGTTCTCCCCTGCTGGCAAACTGGCGGACATGCTGCAAGAGGTCATTCAGAGCCTGGCTGACTACACTGGCTGCTGCGCTGACCTGCTTCAGCAACTCAGTATCATCTGTGGCAGCCTGACAGGCTCTGACACAATTCTCCACTGAACGATCCACCAGTTTCCCAGCCTCAATCAGCTGTTCCTGGCACACAGGGGAGCTGATGGTGGGACTCACAACCTATGTTGCAAGAAAACACAAGTTTTAAGAAAAGGTTTAGTAGGCAGGAAGTTACCAAGTAACCAGTGATATATCCATCTCCTCGGTGCTCAAGATAGTTTCTTTTACGTACCATTCTCCTATGGAAAATATGCTCAAGTCACTATGCCACATGAGCTCCAATGAGTTTATCATACTGAATCAACTCTGTACATGCTCAAGGTAGTTGTTTTTATTAGTAGCAGATTATGTGTAGTGTATTTCAATTCAGCACATGGGAATCCAGATACAGAGAAGCTGTCATTAGATTTGCACTCCCTGACAATGGCCCACCATAGTAGGAGATGTACAGCTATCTGCTATTATAAGAAAAAGCGACCAAAGCTGAGTAATTAATATTGTTCACTCTGGCCATCAAGGAGTTAAAAATGCCCTAGCCTCTTTTCTGTCAATACTTCTTTGGACTACAGAACAAATAGAGAAATAGGGAGGATGGTTCTGAAGGGCAGATGGGTCCCAAAGCCTTGCAAGATAGTGTACTTATTCTGAACAACCCTGTATCTTAGAATTTCATACGGAGAAAGATTACTACCATATATGAACTACAATCTCATATGGATGTTTTAATTGAAATTGGCGTTGTAGAGCCTCCTAATGCCAGTCATTATTTTGATAAAGCCAAGAACAACTCTTGGATGAAAACCTTCAAGAAAATTGTATGCCTGGAAGTACAAGACGAGCAACCAATGAATGCCCACTAATAAAGCCCCAGCTAATACAATTTAGGCATGTCAAGTAAGCTGCTGGCAAAGGGAGTAAACTGGGTGTGTAATTTCCACAGTAGAAAAGGTGCCATGGACTGCCTCATGCCTCCATAAAGAAATTCCGAAGCAGTAAGAACATCAAGTCTAATTAATGAGAGTTCATACTTACTCGCTACAGAAGGCCCCTGAAGCCAAAGCAATAAAGTAGAAAATATTGAAAATTTAATACAAAAATTGGTTTTTCATTTTATTATAATCCTCTTGGATGTACTCATTTTCCAATTGCAATTAACCCTAAGGAAGCCAAACCTGCTGATGTCAAAATAGGTACTCAGAATATGCAAATATGAAACATTTAAGATTTAAAATTAAAATTTCCCAGGGGCAAGCGGAGCACAGCAGCTCTACTGCAGATGTGCTTTGTTTGGGTCTGCACTCATCTGTGCAATGCTCAGACCATGTCTCAGTACTCAGCCCAACTGATGTTCCCACAGGAGCCATAAATTTGGCTAGATATGCTCAAGTCTCTGACCACAAACTTGGCTTGAATTTCAATTTAATGAAAAATATCAGGTGAATATATCTTGGATATAGGCTTTGATAAGCATTTCACACAATTCCAGAGGCAAGCTGTAATTAAGCTTATTTTCAGCATATTTTCAGTATTTTCAGCATATTTTCAGTATTTTCATCAACAGCAGTAAATCTCAAGCATTTTTCCTGAGGAACGATGGTAGCTTTTCATATTCTCTAAACTGACTTTTGATGTGCAGTTACCTAACTAGTAATCAAACCAGAAACACATTAATTAGAAATCATTATCATACCAATACATTAGAGCAGTAACTCCCAATCTTGCAACCCAATTCCAGCCTGAGCTGATGGATGCCACTGCATTTTGGGGGGTTTTTTGGGTTTTTTTTTATTACAGTTTTAATTATTTTTTAAATACAAAAATTAGAAAATTAGAAACACAAAAACTAAAATACATTTATGTAAACAATACCTGTCAACCTGAACCATGTACACATCACAAATGCATTTTAATGTGGCTTATGAGCCTACTCAGAAGTGCCATGACCACCAGTTCAGAAGCTAGTGATTCCACCTATTGGGAGATTCTGCAAAAGGGGAATATAAATGAAAGAAGACACTAAGAGCAGTCCAGCCGAGCATGCACATATAGGGGCATGCTAGCTGTGGTACAAATAGCAGCAGCGCATATTTATGCTGCTGCTTCGTGCCCCAGGGCATGCTCCTGCACACGTGCTCTGGCACATGCCAAATGGTCCTAGGTGGGGTAGGGAAGGCTGGGGCCAGCATCCTGGGGCAGCAGCAGTGCTGAATGGAACCTTGCTGGCAAGCCAGGACAGCTAGGCTCTGTTTCTGGTGGTGTGTGCTGCTACCATGTGCACCGCACCGCTTTTTTTGTGACCAGGATCTCCCAATTTCAAATTAGCATTGAAACAAACATGTGCACATGTGCTGCGGTGAGGTGCCACAAACCATGAACAGCTTTGAGGTGCAACAAACCACATGTAAGTGTTTTTCTGGATACGCCTAACAGTCCTTTTAATCACTGCCACAGTGTGCTGTATTGTGCAATGCTCACAAGTAGCAATGATAAATGAGGGCAAAGAGAGTAAGGAGTTCCTTAGCTGTTTCAAAGAGCATTGCCGCCACTTCCTTAGCACTGACGTGCATTTCGCCATTTATACAAATATATGCGACAGTGCAGGGTGCGTCAACTGGCGTGCTTATCAAACTCAATCGAGTCTGCTCTGATGCACTGGATTTCCAGCATGTTGGAGCAGACAAATGTATATGTATAAATGCCCTATCCCCCTAGGTATTCACCAAGAGGGAACTGAGACATTTCAGCATTGCATTCAATGGAGTATTAGGAGAAAGCGAGAGGACAGGGAACACAGTGTGGGGAATGCACTGTAATGGCTGTCCCTTCCCTGCCCAACCTTCGTTAACATTGTTAAATTTACCTTGGCACAAGCCACAAGCTGAGAAGTGGAGAGTGCACATTGTGTGGCAGCAGCAATAACTCTGTTCTGCAGGACTGTATCCTCGGCAACTTGAGCCACATTCTTAGCCTTCAGTACCAACATGGCAGCAGCATTTGCAACAGCTTTGGCAAGACTCATCAGTACATCCTGGCAAAAGAAAGGGTAAAACTTGGTTTGGGTAAAACAAATCATTGCCACTGATATTTGGATTAGTTAAAATTAAACTCAAATGTCCTGATTTTAAGATGACTTAAAGCATCTCTCATTTACAAAGGCAAACTGTGACAGACTATTAATGAAACATTGCTATTATCCAAAAAAGTTTTACTCTTTACAAGAGGATGGGCTGGGACAGGGGAGGTGGTGGGGGAAGCAGAGACAGGGGGACATATGGCTTTATGGCCTGTAAGAGGTTACTGAACTAAGTCATCAAATTGCCATTTGGAAGTGGTTAGATTTATGGTGAAAAAATACAACATAAGAACAAAATATATTGAAATGTTATTCAAGAGCTGCATTCTCAATTTCAACACACAGAATTATATTACTCAAAGAATATACAAAGTTAACTACTAGGCATACCTGCTCAAAACTACCTATTTACTGGTTAAGTGGTACAGAGTAGTCACATCTAGACCCAAGGGAAGGATGAAGACTTCAACCAAAAACTGTAGCTCAGTTTCTTCCACTATACTAAATCCCAAGTACCATATTTATTTGAATACAAGACAAGGTTTTTTCTCCCACTTGCCATGGGGAAAAATCAATCATTTTAAAAGCACATACAGGACATCTCACTAGGTATACTGTCCATCTTTAAACTGCTGCCAAAAGCTGCATGAGCTCAGCAATGGAAAGCAACTATGAATAGGCTAATACAGTCCATCTGAATAAGATGTATGGTACTGCCCAATAAGCATAGTTCCCTTCACCACTTACTCTTGGTCATGGTGAGCCACTACACTGCATACATTTTGGTGAGTTCTTCACTTTCATAGCAGAACTGTGCCTTTGTCAGTTTCCAATTAGTCCTGTTTCTTCACCAGTCTTAAATGCCTGGCAAACATCACCAAACAGAGCCCCAAACAGTTCACCCAGAATCCCTCTGTCACCCCCTCTCTCAGTCTGGTGCATATGATTAGCGTGGCTCTGCCTTCCATGAGTTTTAGGTAGACCCAGTTGGTTTAATACTTGCAATGTTATACTTCAGAAGACTTTTTTCCAGTTCCCTACTTAAGAAATTGCATTCAGCATGCTTCATTGTTTTGGTCGGATGGAGAACTTTCAAGTCACAATATTCTTTTGTTTAGCGACATGCTCTAACAGACAGTATGCGAGTGTAACTAACTATCAAGCTTACTAAGTGGGCAGGTGCTGAAAGAGAGTACCTTAACCTGCTACATCAATGCACTGACAAAACTGCTGCCTACAGGTCCAAAATTATGGTGTTTATACAGACATAGTGATTCTACAAAATAAAATGGTGAACCGTGTAAACAATTAGTATTAAAACAATCTCAATTTTATCTGAAAAGATACTATGCAATTTGTACACTGAATTTAACTGGGGAATAAAGTAAAAGTGCTTAAGTCTCAAAGTTATGGTTAAAAAGAAAAAGCCCTCTAAAAAAAAGACTAGAAGGCCAGAAAAACGTCCCTGTTTCTTCTTCCCAGCTCTCAAAAATAGCTGCAATATTTGACTACATGAATGCAGAGGGCTACAATATACATTAGAGGACAAGCTAGAACTGTCCAGACTTGCAGATGGCTTTACTGCTGCATAAAGTGTTTTAATTGGCCTTTAAGTTCTCTTGGCATATGTCTTGAAAACGGCACAATCTGGAGATCTATCTACTGCTGTAAATTATTTCCTTTGGTTCTCAGGCAGATCAGCTCTTGGCACCAAGAAAAAAAATCCAGGTATGCTTCTATATAACATTTAACTTCTACATAACATTTAAAGGCAGTGGTTTTAAAATGCTAATGGCTATTACAGTATAAATCCACACCAGCAGCCTATTTTATTAACTGAAAATGTTAATCTTCTTAAAGAGATCATGCTTGTTACAAGAATAATTTCATTCACATCAGTTTTTCCAAAGTTTTATACTTACAGACTCTAAGCAGAGATAGAATCTGATATAAAAGAGATTTTTTCAATTAAGCACTCATGTGAATGTGCGCGCCCACACACACACACACACACACACACACACGCACACCCCCCACCCTGGGCAGCATCTGGCGAGGCGGGTGCAGGGTCCCAGGAGCTCTGTCCCCTCCGGCCTGGTGGTGCAACTGAGGCTGGCCCCACCCCGGGCCCTCTGAGTGGTGTGGGGCCAGGGTTGGGGCCAGTTTGGGGAGGCAGCTGGGGCCAGTGCTGGGCTGGAGGGGTGGTGAGTTCCACCCCCATCCCTCCTCCCCACAGACTTTTCCCGGAGGAGTGTGCGCGCGCATGCACGTGCACGCTCAGCTCCTCTTCCCCCTAAAAATTTTTTATTTTCCCTGACTTAAACAGTTTGTTTTTCTTTTCTTCCTTGTATCCTGATTTCAACCTGTTTTTTATGTTTGGAAGATAAACCCAAAAAAATTCATGGATTTTTTTTTTTTTTTTTAAATAAAAACTGAAAATGCGGAACACTACTTCGGACAATCTTTAATTAATCAATAACAACATGCCGTGGTCACCCCAAGGGCAAGCTGCAACTTGATGAGAAAATAAAAGAAGTTATGGCAAAGCCATAAAAGTTTTGCATTTCAGTTTAGCAGTCATTCAAACTCCTGATCTTCCTACCTGAAATCCATTCAAACACCTTGGTTTTGAAGAGTGAGCTATGGCCCTAGCCCAGGGAAATAGGGATGACAGAAATAAAAGAAAACTGAACTTTTAAATAAAAAACGGCTTGGATTAATTTATGTTTTGAACAAAATTATAGAAAGCAAATAAAACAAGATTTTCACGTGACTTAGGACAATATAACAACCTTATATACAGTATCATGCTCCATTGGGTTGTTTGTAGAGTTCTGGCACTGAGAAGTTCAAATGTTCTAACCTGGAATCTTTCATCAGTTTCACTCTCTCCAATCTGTCTCAGGAGCTCCCCACTGGCTTGCCCGATGCTTCCAGCTGCTGTCAAAACTGTCTGGCGAGGCTAGAAAAATATCAAATGGATGCAAAATAAGCTGGTTTATACAAAGAAAAACTTTTCTATTATTTTGGGATTCTTTAAAAGCACATTTCTTAAACACATTACTGTAAACAGGGTAACACCACTGAAATCTCTACTGAGGTTTTTCCATAAACTAAAAACCAGGGAGATGTAACCTTGGTTTCCTCTTGGACGATGGAATTTTTATTTCCTTAAAATGTTGATAAAAAGACTAGTTTCCTGCTACTACACAACACTATAATGTTCAAATTAGATACTTTGTCTAATTAGATACTGGCAGCTCTTAATTTCCCAGTATCCTGTAATTTACTCTTGCAGTTAGAAAAGAAACCAAATATTTTTCAAGATTTCCCACCAGAAGAGAATGCTATATTGGATTACATTCAAGATGCTTCAATTTTTAATTAAAAAAGGAATAAAGTAAGAAGCAGCAATGAATAGGAAACAGAAACAATGGATGTTAACTGTCCTTACTTTAAATCCAACAATAATATATATTGGTCCAAGTTTTACACACAGTTAGTGTAGTATTACCCAGTTAATACTATATCACATTATTTCAGCTCTAAGGAGCAAGATTTTTTTTCTGGTTACTTCAAGCTGCATATAATAGTGATTGTTCTAAGATCACTGGCTGCAGCACTTAAAAGACATGAAGTCAGAGGTAAGGTGTAGGAGACAAAAGTAGTAGTCAGGAGAGGTTCTTGGATGGGGTGTGAAGCAGACAGCTCTGAGAACAGCCAACTTAATATAAAGATTGTTTAACTGAGCTTACTGCTCAGTCAAGAAGCATGAGGAAGTTCAGTTGCCCTAGTCTTACTTCTCCTGAAGTGGGCTGCACAGCTTTCAGCAGGTCTGAGACAGCACCAGCCAGAGTTCGAGCAGCTTTCAAGAGGTCCTCCCCACTTCCAACTTCATCATCCATAAGGGCAGCAAGCAGTTTCACACCTTTGGACATCTCCGTTAGGTTGGAAGAGATAGTTGTAATTGCACACCCCACAGCTGTGTAATCAGTGTCAACTGGGTCACCTGAAGGACAAAGGCAAATAATGTTTCAACTACATGTTTCAAACCACCATTAAGATCAACTAATCACTACTTCTGCCTCTACACAACATTATGAGTTTCTCATCAGTACTGCCCAATTTAATGAGAGACCCATGATTGCTTCTTACTCCATATCCACTCTTTGATGAGAATCATACTCATGGGCACTCTACATTGTTCATACTTTTTTCAGAACCCTGTTCCTGAGGGCCCCTCTACACATGCAGGTAAGGCACAAGGAATTCTAATGCATGATCCACACAATCACACCTCCTGCCATGCCATATATACAGCTGGGAGATCTCAGCTGATGCCATCTCCTTGCATTAGGGGTGCGCAAAACCCCCGAGGCTGGGAGACTGCAGTTGTGCCCTGAGGCTGCTGAGACCCAGCTGGATCCTGGCACCAGGAGGCACACTGCGGGACTCTGGGTCCTGGCATCCGCTGGACTTTGGGTCTGTATGGCTCTGCGTTGCCCCTGAAACCGCAGGACAGCTTTCCCCTCACCACTCCCAGAGTTTAGGACTAAGCCAAGCAGCAGCTGTGGCCAACTGTTACCTGGGCTGACTAAGAGCAATTTGCTCCTGGGTCAGTATCTACATGTGCACTTAGGCGTGTTAAGGTGCCATTTTCTAGTACCTGTACCTGTATCTGTTGGTACTAGCAAACAGTTTTAAATTAATCTACTGTGCAGTAATTGCTGTGCACATGTAGACAGTGACGCTTTATTAGTTTAATGAGCAGTAATGTGCACATGTAGATGTGTCCCATTTTGCTGAAAACAGGCTGGAACATTCATATTTGAAATTCTCACTGCTATGGAAAGTCCAATCGCTGTATCTTACCTGCTGTGAGATTAACAACAGAAGCAGTTCCTGCAGTGATGGCATCAACCTGAGAGTGTATTTCATGTTTCGATTCATCAACTTTGTTCTGAACCCATACCCTCGATGCCTGGAGACCAACAAAGACAGAGAATTAAGGACTGCAATGAAACGCAGAGCAAAGTAGTAAGATGAAGTCCTTTACAGGTTTTTCATTCTTTCTAAAGGCTTTTAAAAAGAAGCAATTACAGCAAATGAGATTTAAGGTTCAAATATGTCACCAAATACTTTTTTATTTAGTTTTTCAGTATGTTACATAACAACTGCTCTGAATGAACACCATAAGCAAGATGGCCCAATGACACAGAAGAGAGGATGGCATTTCTATTTTGTGGATTTGACAAGCCAAGTATCTGAAAAGGGGTGAAGAGCCACAAGATGTGTGACAGGATCATGCATACCCATGTTAATGTCATCAGGGTCCTGAAGTCTCTCTACAAGAAAAAAAAAAAACAAAACCCAAGACTAAACACCCAACCATGCTGTACCCAGTATGTTGGCTTTGCTTTGCTTTATAGTTACTGCTTCAGTGTCTCTCCCCTCAGGAATTACTTACTCCAAATGTCCAGGAGGCAGGCATACCTGCTTTTTCAGATATGCTGGGTGAAAGTCTACCTTTAGTTACAAAAACAGAGATTCACTGAAATAAATGGAATTGCATAGATGTGCAGGAAGGGAGAGCTAGGCTCAATATGCAGAACTTCCAAAGGTTACCATGAGTGAAATAGAACAAGTTTCCTGCACAGAATCTGTAAATCAAACACAGGATTTGTATCTTATTTATAAAGCTACAGAGATACCAATCTAGATCTAGGGACAATAAACATGTTGTACAAAAGAAATCTTTTGACCATTAAGATGACTCTCCAGAGTCAAGAAATTTACCATGTCTTGTCCTAGAGGTGGTAGGTTATCAACTTCATTGAGGTCAGCCTGTGCCTGCTGAACGGCGTGCATACTAGTATTTATAGTCCCCATCAAGGCCTGCTGTGCTGAGGTCTGTGAGAGAAACAAGGAAAAATGGTGTATGCCAAGATCCAAACAGTGATTTAGGCAGATGTGAGATGTTTTCTGCTATATGCTACACACAGAATAAATGAAATCATGTAAATGATGATAGTTTTTATTCAAATTATCTTATGTGCAGACTGCCTCTGCATTATTCAGAAAGAACAAAGAATGACAGCTTAAGTATTAATGGTCTGCATTTGTCGGGGGCAGAACTGGCAGGCTGGCTTCTAAGACCAGTCTGGTGCTCTACATAAGCTGATAAGGATTACAGGCCTGTCTATGTATTCTGTTGTTTTCCCAGATGGGAGAGAAAGGGCAAGAACAATAACAAAACAAGGGCAACCCTGATGTACACAATACATTGCCAATATTAACTTCTACATCGGGTAGGTTCAAGATGACACTTAGCTGCTAAGGTAGATCCGCTAGGGGCACCCGGCTTCTATCCACTGATATCAAAGGAAAGTTAAGCTCTTTAGTAGCTTCCTGGATCTGAGCCCAACTCCCTATTGTCCTTGCTGTCTTCTATTTCCTTCTTTATTAAATAAGTGTTACCTTACTGGATAACTTACTTCCTTACACATTCCCAGTGGTAACAACTCTAAGCAGCAGCATCTGGCTTGTTGGCACATATCATTAGGCCCATACCCATGAGACGAAGGCTGAGGAAAGGGTGGGGAGCGGGGAAGGAGGCAAACCTATCCAATCTCCGAACTACGTAACTGCTCTTTTACATGGTTGTACAACCTCAGGAAACTTGATCGGCTCCTAAGTAAGGAATTTATTTAGCTATGAAGAGGTTTTTCAATGTAGTCAGTCATTTCTATTAACTGACAGAGACAACTAAAAAAACCCTATAGTTATTTAAAGGAGACTGAAAAGTCCCAGAAACTTCCTTGAATATAACATTTTGCTATGAACAGGTCTATGTAATGCATACAGTTATTATTAGAAAATGCATTTGTGTTCCATTTACCATTTTACAGATCAGCTCAAGAATTTTTCTGCTTTCTGACAGAGGTGATAATTCTTGCTGTCTGTGTTAACTGGCATAACTTTTCATGTTGAATACTGAACAAAGCATTAGGCAGACAAGGTTCTTTGGGTAGATGTGGTACCTTTGATTAGACCAACTAAATAGTTGGAAAGATTGTATTTTGCAAGCTTTCAGGCACAAATACCCTTCTTTCAGGCACCCTTTTTGTGCCCGAAAGCTTGCAAAGAACAATCTTTCCAACTATTTAGTTGGTCTAATCAAAGATATCACATCTACCCAAAGAACCTTGTCTGCCTATGTCCTTAGACCAACATGGCTACAAGCAATAACCCTAAGAACAAAGCATTAATACAGCTAGCATTATACTAACAGTACAAAACACAGAGGGGAAGTAAAATTCTTTACATGTAAATATAAAACCAGGGATATAATTGTCAGTGACATTTGAGGTAACAGGGGCAGTAAGCACTGGATTCTGTTTGCATCCTTAGCTATTTCTCTTGTTATAGTTCTAGTCTGAGGCTGAAATCATCTTATCCTTTCAACTATGTCATCCAACAATTGAATACGGTCATTCAGACATTCCTCTAATTCCTTCTCCAGATGGTTTAACATTTTTGTGCAATCCTCTAGTTGTATGTATTTATAAAATGTTGAATTTTCACAAACATACCTAATATTAAGAGTACCAGTGCTTTCCTAGCGTATTTTCTATGAATGTTGATGTGAGTTTTTAATCTACTCCCAGGATATGGTAATCAGTTTTCTGTAGTAATACACTACATTAGGTTCATTAAAAATAAGTCTAAAATTAAATTGCTGCTGGTGTGATAAGGTGGTCAGAGGAATGATGTATTTTAGATGAAAATGAATAATTACTTGCTGCTACATAGTAGTAACATAATGATGTTCTGTATTACACTGCTGGTGATCCAAACTAAACTACTGTCAGGGCATAGAGAATAGAGAACATGTATACAGACCTTCCTACTTAAACATTCTTTTAAACTAAAAGAATCTTACTGGACACCATATTTAAAAACTGGTAGCTATTGACAGAGTTATACAGATAAATTAAAATTAAATACTGTTTTTACTTGAGTATAACACCACCCCCAATAATTAGATTTTATATATGGAAAATTAACAAATTTGTTATAATTTTCCAGGTATGGGACCTAATTATTGGAGGTTTGCTTTGAAATTGCCTCCCACTAGTACAGCAGAGAAAATAAATCTGGGAGGTCAGGCAGCACCCTTGCCCTCTGCCCACCGTCCCAACTTCTTCCCCCTGCAGCCCGCCCCCCCACCTCCTTATTGTCAGACACTGCTCTCCCTGAGCATGTGAAACTGAAAAACAAATCTGAAAACACTGACCTTAAAATAAGCATACCAAAACATACCTGTAGTAATTTACATAGAGACAAATTACTACAGGTACCCATAGACTTAGTTCATCCAGAATTGATACGTTTTACCTTTTCTGAAACTACTTCAAGTTTCTGTACAGATACTCCATAAATACACTTTTAAGAAGCACTTTGGTACCTACTTATATATAGTACAAGCCATTTTTTTAAGGAAAATATTTAGTGTCCCAGGTCAAATTAGCCAAATCAGCCAGATCAGTTCCAAATCCTTTCAATCATTCCAGAACCATATGTGGCCCTACTACTAGCAAGTATCCTCCACCCCAAACTCCTCAGCCTGGGGCTTCAGATACTTACAAATCTTTTGGCAAGCATCCTACATGCAGGCCCAAGCCTGGAGGCTTGGGGTTCAGATGCCCCCCAAGTTTCATTTGCCCTCAGCCATACGGCCACAGGAGCAAGCTAGGGAGAAATCTCCCATTTCCATAAAGTCGCCATAGAGCCGAGAACCTCCCACTGGAAGCTAGCCAGTAGGAAAATAACTATGAGACTCTCATAAGTAGTCCTATCTACATTCAGAGGAGGGTGCACTCTCTACCACACAGTGCCAATTTAATTATATTACCTTAGTCATGGTATTTCCCCTGCCACGTAAGTATACTACAAATCATGCATATTATTAATCCAGAGCCAAAAGTCTCATGATTTATCATATAATTCATTGTACTGGGCCCCAGCAGAGCCAACAGAATTTCAAGCCATGGTGACGTCATAGCCCAACATTGCTCAGTAGGTGTGTGTACTCCAGGTACCCCTACACAAAGCATCCACGTGCTGATTACCCCCCACTCATGACTGGAACCGAGTGTTCTCATCCTGAGTCCTGGGAGCCTCCAAAAATGTACATGCAGATGAGGTTCACGGTAACCTGGTCTGGCTCCACCTCAAGAAGGCTGGGCCACACTAATCATATGCAACAGACTGAGAGAACAGGTGACAGAAGGATTCTGGGTGAACCATTTGGGGGCTTGTTTGGCAATGTATACCAGGCATTTAAGGCTGGTGAAGAAACAAGAATCACTGGAAACTGGGAAAGAAAGGCACAGCTCAGCTGTGGGAGTGAAGAGGAAGTCAAAATGTACACAGTAGCTCATACATTCAGTGGCTCACTGTGGCTGAAAAAAGACAGCAATGAGGGGAACTGCATTTAACGGGCACCCATATGTCTTATTCAGATAGGCTGCACTAACCAGCATGTTTGCCCGATGTGTTTTATAGTTACGCTCATGCTAGCTGCATTTAATCAACTTCATAGTTGGTTTCTATTGCTGAGCTCATACTGCTTTTGGCAGAAGTTTTAGGACAGACAATGTATTTAGTGAGATTTTCTTGTACATGCTTATAAAATGAGGGGCTTTTTCCTCCATGCCAACTGGGGGGGAAAACAACCTTGATTTGTATTCAAGTAAATATGGTCAGTCTTCAAATCATTTTGACAAATTTATTTTGTATTCAAATGCATAGAGCACCCTGAGACATGACCAGAATGCTCCATGAAATGACTAACAGAAATATCCAAAGCTGAAAATGATGTCTAGATAGAGGAGTGTTTGGGACAATGCAAATGTGAATATAAATGTATATCATTTTTATTCAATATTCCAATTTTCTATTCTTTTTTCCAGGCATGGTAAAAGTTCCCTTAATTAATTCAAGGGAAAAAAAGTCTGCTTCAAGAGAGAGGGGAGAAAAGTAAACAATTCAAAAGCGATTGCAATATTCTAAATCAGGGGTGCTCAACCCCTGGCCCACGGCATCATGTCATGGGGCCCAAGAGGCTCCCTGTGGTCTGGAAATTTGGCAGTGGGAGAACAGCAGCACTGCTGCCCCACTGCCAAATTCCCAAACCCATGGAGACCCCCAGTCCCTGAGCACTAGATTCTACGGCACAAGGCCGGGTAAGGGGAGTGCTGGGTGTCAGGGCCCAATCCCAGTGTGCTTAGGGGGGAAGGTAGTGGGCAGCACAAGGCCCCTGGGACCCAATCCTGGAGTACAGAGGGAAGGAGGGGGTGGCACTGGGCCCCCAGTGCCTAATCTGGGCATGCAGGGGTAGTGCCAGACCCCTGGGGCCCCAAGCCCAACTTATGGGGCCAGGAGGGGGTGTTCTGGGACCTCAGGGCTCAACCCAGCCTGTAGACTGGCCTTGCCTTGCTCATCTGACCCTTTCGGCTAAAAGAGTGAGCACTCATGTTCTAAATAGTACAGGGACATTCAAATATGCAGTTTATCAGGCAACCTAGCTGAAGGTTTGACAAATCCATACTCACTCCCCAGTCATTACGCAGTAACAGGAAGCATGCACATGTATGCATTCATACCTCTGTACAACTCACTCCAGATTGGTTTCAAAGAATGTTAAACAACTAGTTTTCTCACCAGTGGAGGCATGTGCCCTCTGTGCATTTGTCCAATCATGACCTGCTGCTGGGCCGAAGGCATACTGCCAATGTTGAAAGTTTCTGGGCCGCTAGAGCCTGAACGCATAACAGCAGGCAATGCTACTGAGCCATGCTCAACCTTCCCTGTCCGGTTGAACTGTTGCTGCAGAATGGTGGATCTGAAAAGGGAAAGCACAAGTTAGCTCCTTTAACCTCCTGTAAACTAATTTTTTATTTTCCTGTGTTTTCTAAGCAGGGAACTCTTAAATTCCAGTCAGACTCCTTCCACTTAGCCATTTTACAGCTTCTAATGCCTCAAGTGTTTTAAACAAATGATTTTTTATTAACCTTTTCTACCTGCACAAGCCACAAAGAAAAAACAGAGAGGTCTACATTTCGTGTCTTCATTATGATGACTTTGCCGCAGTTACAAAGATACATTTTTGAAGTTGGGAGCCATGTCACTTATATTAAAATCATAAACACAACAGTTTTATTTCAACTGTCCATCAAACAGGATGATCACATAGAAAGACGAAAGCTTCGGGAAGACTTTCAAGCATGGCTGAGAGCTGAGACAAAATTGGTGCCCTCTTTTGTAATTCACCTATTTACTTACATTTAGCATCTGACAGTCATAGAATCATTGAAAATCAGGGTTGAAAGGGACCTCAGGAGGTCATCTAGGCTCACCCCTACTTGAAGCAGGGCCATCTCCAACTAGATCATCCCAGACAAGGGGATGGTCTAGCCAGGTCTTAAAAACCTTTAAGGATGGAGATTCCACAACCTCTCTGGGTAACCTGTTCCAGTGCTTTCTTACGTGCCTAGCGAGAAAGTTTTTCCTAATATCTAAACTAAACTTCCCTGGCTGCAATTTGAGACCATTCTAACCTAGATTTCATTTGCCAGTCTATCAGATAATGAGTAAAATGTGCTTTAAACTATAAAAGTTACTATTAGGCACAGACACAATCAACTGCTCATATTAAATCAAAGTTCCAACTGTTGGGAGTACAAGCATAAATTTACTTCAAATAGCAATAACTTGTTGAAAAAAAGTCTCAGTAATTTCAGTTATTGACAATCTTCACATTCTTGTATGTTTTAAGCTTCTAAGTGGAGCATCTACTCTTATAAGGTATGTTCTGGAACCTACCTGGAAAAAGGAGAATGGAAAAGAAGCAAAGAAGAACATGTGAACTATGTCAACAATCAAAAACTCATAATAAGGTTAAATAAAACATCTCTCCACTCCATTTAATATCTGCCACATGTTTCACAATAAATCGAACAGTCAGACCTTCACACAGTGAAGACACACTACATTCCTTTCCGTTTTATTTTCATTGAAAGGCTTAAGGGCTTCATTTAACTTTGCTTTGCCCTGAAACACTGTATTAAGAGAAAATTTAATATTTTTTTTCAAGAATTGTGCCAGCTCTAGGATTCCACTCTTCGCCACTTTTTAGTAATCTTTTTAATTCTCTCCTCCTTCTCACCCCACTGAAGTAGTCACAAGCCCTCTCTACTCTAACTGCACTGTGGGCCAAAATCCACATACCTTGCCTTTCATGGCATCTGAAATGTTATCAGTGGATTTTGCTTGCATAGTAAACAAAAGTGTGCTAATGACACTGCTTACAGTTCACTTGATAAGAGCCAGAAAATACAGTGGAATGCAAATTCCAATGAAAGCTGTGAACACAGCAAATGTAAGCTACCGAAATCTAGTTAGTCTAAGTATGCAAAGACAGACTATGCAACATACCACTAACTATATTTATTTTTATACAGATCAGCATACATTTCTTCACTGAATTACAATCTCATTATCATAGTTCACAGCTTATCAACACACACTGGAAACATTTAGATCCAAGCAGTAGTCTTGGGTCAAACTCTTCATCCCTCAAATGAAGCTTTGGTCTGCAGAGCAGAACACAGACCGGGTTTTTTAAACTACCTTGCCTTAAACAAAAATGTGTTAAATCATATCTGGTATGAAGGTAACTGTCCACAACTTATGAGAGGTAACTGTCCACAACTTATTCACTCCTATGGAAAGAAAAAATTTTCAATGGTGCAAACTCACTTTTTAGGTGAAACAGATTCTTCCAACATTGTTGATTCCTCATCTCCTTCAAGCCCAAATCTATCCTTACTTTGCTTCTGAAAACAAATAAATCAAAACAGTTTGTGACATTTTTATTTTTTAGTATAGGAACCTCTCATTGTTTTCATAAATCCTGTCAAGCCATATTTGCATGGTGTTTTCAAGTTATATCATAATTTTTGGTACTCTCAATATGCGAATAAAATTTCAGAATACAGACACGCCTATCCCTTCATAGATGCCATAGAGAAGAGAAATTTTGGTATTTGCAACAATACTAGCAGGCCTTGTTTCCACACAAGATAAAGCACTGAGAAACTGTGTTGAGACAACACTTGGCCCCCTAATAATGCCTACTTCCTTTGAGAAAGGATAGTCTTTAAAGAGGCTTAATACCACCAGGCAGTCTCACATTGACAGGGGTATCATCTGCTCCTTCCGCTGATTCATTACATAAAAGGCATAAATGAAGTTCTACAAAGTCTTGTCAATGCACATAGTCCACAGACATTGACGAATAAGTCTCGTCACCCTACACAGTCCACAGATACCGATGAATAATTCATCAATGAATATTTCTCAACTGTACAATGTGAAGAAAGTGCTGATGTGTACTGTATTTACTTGAATACAAGGACCCTGAATGTAAGATGAACCCCCCAATAATTAGATTCTATACATAGAAAATTTATAAAATTATAATAATTTTCCATGTATGGAATCTAATTATTGGAGGATCATCTTAAATTCATCCCCCCTCAACTACTGCAGGGGGGGTGGGGGGGAAATAGACAGTAGGGGAGGCGACAAGAGGACATGTGGTAGGGCAGGCTGATGGGCAGGTGGTGGGGGGCAGGCAGTCAGAGGCAGGAACCCACCCCCTCACTGTGCCAGCCCCAGCCCCAGCCCCAGCCCGACCCCACCCCCAAAGCCTCATACTGCCCCAATTCCCCCTTCCACTGTCCCCCGCTCCCCTCACTCTCTATGCTGCTTCTACCACTCGCAGCCTCAGGTCCCTGCCCCACTTCTTCCCATCTACACCCTCCCCAAAGTCTCTCCCACTGCTGCCTGACACTCAACACCCCTCCTCCCCCACCCCCCCCAACCTTTGCTCTGTACCACTGCTATGGGTCTGGGCTGGAACCATACTCCATGCACCAGGCTGGAGCAGGGACAGAGCCTGCTGGTGCAAAGCAAAGGTAAACAGGAGTGAGGCAGACAGGGGGACAGAGAGATTGAGAGAGAGAAGCAGTGTTGGTTGGGGGGAGACTGGGGGTGTGGGAGAGGAGTGGCAGAGCATGCAGAGGTAGTGGTGGGGAACAGAGGGAATGTGGCAGCTATGGCTCTGGCTCCAGCTTCAGTTCCAGCCTCAATCCCAACCCCAACCCCGGGTTGGGGCCACAGTCACAGCAGCTGCCTGCCTGCCCGCTTCTCCCCGGACCCAGCCTTGTGTTCAATTGTAAAGCAAGCCCCCCACCATGTTAAAAAGGGGCGGGGGTGGGGGGGGGATCTCGTCTTCTAATTGAGTAAGTACGGGCTTATTTTCTAATTCTTTTACTTCTAGAATTTTGACTTCCGATGTGAATTCTATACAATAGTATAAGGGAGGTAAACAGACACGAGGGCATTATGATAGGGTCTGGACTAAGAGACAGTCCACATAAGCACATGACAAAAGAATGCATAGTAAATTGTGAAAGTAATGTCTTGCAGCAATTCAATTCTGTGGGTAATCCTGGCCTTGTGGCAGTCACAAGGGGAAAAGACAAGAGACACTTGGTACATTGTTACGCGACTGTAATGTTTCCCTGTTCAGCATGCACAATGACAAATGCATCTGTTATTCCCAAGCAGACAGTTTCATTGAAACCTTCTCCCCAGTTACAAAAGAATATTTAACCTCAACCCTGAGTTTAGTGTGTGCTGAAACTGGACACAGAGTTTTAGAGGCATTTCACCTTTTGTGAGACTACACTCCTGGTATTGGTGTAAGGGAAAGAAAAAAAAAAAAAAAAAAAAAAAAGCATCTGGCCTTTCCAGGTTTTCCTATGTATCAACCAATTATCTACCAGTGACATTTTGCATAGACAAAATTTCTCTGGGTCCCAGGATGGCAGTGTAAGTTGCCAAAAGTTGTGGCAAAAAGCTACACCACAGCAGATGAAGTGACAATGAAGTGGCAATGTATGATTTTCATTTGGCTGTGGGGGATGCCAGGGATCCTGGTTTTCTGTTAAAAAAATCCAGAATGCTCTGATTAAACCCACCCCCCACCCCATTGCATTTTTCCATGATTAAAATGAAATACCACTATATATACAGGTATGAGTTGAACACAATGTTTTATTAATATATTCACAATTATATTTACAATTTAAAAGCAATTTGGAAGCCTACCAGTACAGGCAGTCCTCAACTTCCAACGTTTCAAGTTACAACGTTTCACACTTACAACGTTTATAAACTGACACCCTGTTTCAAATTTATGATGTCAGTTTCAACTTTACAATGCTTCATGGATGCAACGCCACGCCAGCAAACAAGTTCGCTGCGTTGCTCATCTCCCCGGAGAACATCTGTCCAAACTTCCTTGGACACTTTCTTTAAGAAAGCAGTCAAGACTCCAGAAAAACCTGCAGCCAAGACTGAGAAGACTCCAGCCAAGAACCCTTCAAAAAGTCCAACCAAAAGCCCTTCAAAAAGTCCAGCAAAGTCACCTCAAAAAGTCCTTCCAAATCAATATGATCGCTACTTACAATATAAATACATTAATGCAGCTATATTACTCATCTATAATTGATCAAGTACAAAATTCTGGGGTATTTTTGGTAAAAATAGGGTATTGGGCCTTGGGAACCAATCCCCCATTTATAACATTGTTTCTTATGAGAAAATTGGTTCTGAGTTACAACGTTATAACTTAAGACATGGTTGTTTTCAGGAACCAATTGTGTCGTAAGTCCGAGGACTGCCTGTATCTCAATCATTATAATAAATTAAATCCTAAATACCTATAAATTTTGGCATTTGATTTTGGGTTTTTTTATCATGGAAAATCAAAGCTTCCCCTGTTCCCTTTGCTCACCAGGACATGAGTCTAGCTGCAGCTGTCCCCCAGCTGTTTTGTAGCGTTGAGCAGCCCTGATATCCTGGTGCCCCACCCCTGCCCATGCTTTTGCCCCTTGCTCCTAAGCCACAGCCCCCACAGGCCTGCCAGTACCTCTCACTCCCAGCCCAGAGCTCCCTGCCCCCCACCTGGTGCCTCTTACTTCCAACCCTACAGCCCCCTGTCCCTGCTGGTGCCCCTCACTCCCAACCCAGTCACTCATTCCCCAGCCCTGCTGGTGCCCCTCACTCCCAACATACAGCCCTCTATCCCCACCTCCCCAGCCCTGTCAGAGGGGACTCCCAGCTGCCCCCTGCCCTGCCCAGTATGAATTCACAGGATGGTGGTCTGTAGATGCATGGTGGGGACAGCCTCCAGCATAAGATACATGCAGCTCACCTCATGCAGAAGAACAGGCAGCATTCTGGGGCACCACTGGCTGGGGCTGTGGCTGAGGCACAGCAGGGTGGACCAGTGCCATGCTCCACAGTAGCATCATGAAGCTGAACATGGCTCTGGCATGGGCCATACTGCAGGCAGGAGGAGGAGGGCAAGGGCGAGGGCTCCAGGCGGTCTCTGCCTTGTCCAGGCCAGAGCACAGCAGCTGCAGCTCCAGCTTGTGCGGGTGGTGGTGAAACAAGTCCACCCTAGCATGGGCTGGAAGGATGAGGAGGAAGGGATGCCTGTGGCACCCCAGCCCTGGCCTTGGGCTCCTGTGCTGCACTAGATAGCCTGGCCACAGCTTCACCCTGAGAGCACAGGCACTGGCCCCCAACACCACCGACCCTGCCAGACAGCTCCCCGCTGCCCCCAAAGGATGTCCCTGCCCCCTTCCCTTGCTGGAGGGGCAGGCACCTCTGGGTGGGCCCCACAGGCAACAGCACAGAGCTGGGCTTATCAGTGGCACGGAGTGCTGCCTCCGACTCCCTTGCCCCACTGTAGCCCTGGCACCTGGACCCTTTCCCCCAGCACCGACAGGCACCGAGCCCTCCACACACATATACCCCGCTCCCCCAAACAGCCTGCCAGACAATCCCCAACCCCTGGCCCTCCAACCTCCCCACCCTGTCCCCCACCAAGACCTATCTGGAGCCAGCTGACAGGGTTGCTCCCATCACCCTGCCTGGCTGTATGCCAGCCACGTAGGTACGTGTGCACGTGTACATACATGTACATGGCACTCCCTGCCTCCAATCACCTTCCCCCCCATTCCCCCCAGTTCCAAGCCTGCAAGGGGAAATCCATGGTTTCCTGCATTTTTTTCTTTTGAAGGGGAAGATCTGTGTTTTTCTCCTTTGAAGGAGAAATCTGTGTTTTTCCCCTTAAAAGGAGAGTACCCATGTTTTTCTCCTTTAAAGGGGGAAAACCCATGGTTTCTTCCTTTAAAGGGGAAAATCTTTATTTTTATGTGGGAAACAGAAAACCTAGATGCCTGGTAATGAAATAAATTTTAAGTGGGTGACAGGGGAAAGGGACTTGACCCCTGGGAACAGCCTGCAACTCAAACAAGTCATGAAACCTGGTGGACACTTACTAGTTAATCTGTTTCTACTTCATACATTTAGAAAACTGGCTGTGTCAGCAAAGTGGAAAGAAAAAAAGAAGGATTGGTTTGGGAGTGGAAGCATGCACATCTGTATTCTATCAGTAGAGACAGTTCGCTTTAGCTTGGAATTAGAGAATCCAACTTGTAAAACAGAGGGGTGAGAATCAAATTTTAATTTACATACAGATACTTGCTTTGTACTCACTGCACATTATATCTGGCTCTGACAATGCTGGCTTGAACTAGGTGAGAGTTCATGCAAGTACTATGATGACTTTTGGCAATCCACCCCAACTCCAAATGCATAATGTTTGACATGCCAGGCCTGGGGTTCCCCTGACCAAATATCAATTCTACTGACACGTCTAGTGTTCAGTCACTTCTTTGGCATGAACAAATGTTTAGTACAGATAATACTGTAGCTTTGTGTGGTGGATAAAATCAAAGTCAAAATCTGTCAACAATGAGCACAGTGTAGTACCTGAAGTGCCACAGGTTTTCCATACAAAGTGCTTTGAATATAACTATTTACTATAACTCTAGCCTTTAACAGGATTACCATGTTTGCTTTCAAGAAGTATTTTAACCTAAATATCTCCCCACTTACTATATGCTTTAGTCTGCACAGGTCAGAAGAAAACTCTGGACTGCTGTTCTCTTTAAAAGAAGCCACTGCCATATTTCCCAGGTCACCCCATATAAAACACAGCAAAAGATAAAATGCATAACTAGTTTCACAAAGGAAAGTGAACTGCTACCATTATATATAATCCTTTTTTCACAAAGATGTATTGCATTTACTAGCTCTGCTGCACTTATATTAAATAGTTTCCTCTTGTCATACCTTCTTCAGAATGATGTCAATGTAACCTGCAATTAGCTGAGAGATCTGCTCTCCTTCAGTGGTCTGCACAGAGTAGTAACTTTCTTGATACTCCCCAAAATCCTGATGGAAAAAGATAAAATGAGCAATTCACTCTGGTGAAGGAAATTAAATGAACCAAAAACTAGCTGCATTTAGATTACCAAAAATTAAAGAGCTATAGAAACCTAGCTTTTACTTTCTACTGCTTATAAAGAAACAACCTCAAATACATATGGACCAGGGGTTACACCAAAGCCATAAAGAAACAGAAGCTTTTTCTTCTTATGTCTTATTTCAAGTAATGGCTCTAGCTGTAGATAAAGCTATTCTGAGACTCTATAATAAACCATGTGAAAAAAAAAAATCAGGCACACTGTCCTGGACTTCATCTTTTACAGATATACTGATCTGAAAGCCCGGAAGGAACCATGAGATCACCAAGTCTGATCTCCTGCATATCACATGCCCTAAAATGTATCAGATATCCTTGCATTGAGTTTAGTAACTTTTAACTAAACTTTATTTTCCAAAATGTATCTCCTCTGCCACTTCCCTCAGGAGTTTGTTCTAAGGGTTAACTCATCCCACAGTAAAATTATGTACTTTGTTTCTAAGTGGAATTTGGTTTTGGCTTCTGGCCACTGCTTTTTGTTATTCTTTTCACTACTAGATTAAAAGAAGCCCTTTCATATCCATATTTTCCCTCTATGAAGGTGCTTCTGTATTGTGATCATATCACTGCTCAGTCTTTTTTTCTGTTTAGTTAAACAGACTGAATTCTTTAAGTCTGTCATGGTGTCTGTCATGATATTTTCTCCAGCCCTATTTAACTTCATAATCTGCTTGCCACAATTCAACTGTGTGTTGAATGGCAAGGTGCCATCAGGATGTTAGATAATCAAATTTTTATAGTCTGTAATTAGCTGTTAGGCACATCAGAGTTTTGAAGTGAGTCTTGGAGAATAAGGCTTATGGTACATACATCATAATGTACACAGGACAGTAAAAAACCCAGCAACATTTTCCAATTGCCTCTTTAGGACTAAATTGTATTCTATACTTTGCTAAAAACTTAGATCCAATCAATTTAGAGAGTCAGTCCACGTACATTTCCCCATGACAAACGGATCCCTCCTTCCCTAAAACTGCATATAGAATGAGTACCAGAGTAAAGCTTTTGGGAGAAGCAGCCCAGCGTTTTACAGTTGTCAGTGGCCATTCCTGCAACACTTCCTTAGTCTTCTCATCCACGCGCATCACTGAGTCTTTGGTAACACCCAGCAAGCGAGGAACCAACTTGTTTTTGCCTTTCATTTTTTCCTATAATAGAAATGTCCAGGATTATTTTTTCTTCTTCAAACAAAAGTGTTTTAGAGAAGGAAGCATGACTGAATGAACTTAGGAAAGGTAAGACTGTGACACACTAAAGATGACAACTAAAACATCCACATCCAGTTTCTCAGGCTATGGCAAGTGCTTGTGTGATTAACTAGTCATGTCTTAACATTAAGAAGTGTTAGTAAGTGGCTAAAAAGAATTAAATAAAGTCAGCATTCCTTGTAATAAACAGAAGTAACAAGGTGAAGAATGTTGCCACAAATAAAACAAGTCTACCTATTTCAGTCTGAAGCAACTTTTTATGGACAAGTCTGATCTTGTAACCAAAGAGAAGGCAACCAAAAACCTTGTCAGGAAACTTTAAACTTCACTGTATTTAATAACCCATTTAAACCCATTTAACCCATATAAAAATGTTACAACTTATGCTGGAGCTCAAAAATAAACTCACATGCTAGCCAGCAAATCTATTTACAAAGTCATAGAACTTTATTGCAAGCCCTAAATACTGAAGTTAAAGGCAAATGGCTCAACTAAAGGATGATTTTTTTCTTTCTTGAGCACTACTGTATTTTCTTACATACCACACCCTCCTCTCCCTCAAATAAGACGCATGTGTTGTTTTGGGGAGGTGAAGGAAGAGGAAGAAAAGACCTTTTCTTGAAAATACTGCTAAGTACAAGTACAGTATTTTTGCAGCTGTGGGGGGGATGGAGGGGAGAGCCCCTAGTTCCAGAATCAGTGGCGACATGTAGGGGGTGCATGTGCACCCCCTGACAGCAGCATTCCCGGGTGGGGGGGGGGTCAGGCGAGAGCGCTAGTGCTCCTGCCCCAAGCGCACTGTCCAGGGAGTGTGCCAGGAGAAGTGGTCCCCCTGCAGCTGATCCTGCTGACCCAGAAGTGCCAGTGGTGCACCGCTGCCAGTTGCAGGTCAGTGTGATTGGCTGCAGGGACCCCCCGCCCCTGGGCTGCAGGATCACCCATGGAGCCCCTGCCCCCAGTCACTGACTATCCGCTTTGGGGGGGAAGCGGCCCCCCCCCCCCCACC